GTGGAGTACTGTTCAGTAGCTTCTTAACGCCATTCTCCAAGTCATTAATGTGTATATTTATTAAATTTAAGGATGCCACCAATCTGACTGGGGTAGCAGGCACTTTAGAAGACAAGATATAGTTTGGATGATCTAGTTGTGGATGGTCCTGCTTTGAGCAAGGGGTTGGACTAGATGACTCCTGAGGTGCCTTCCAACTCTAATTTTCTATGATTCTGTGATTCTATTGATTCTATGGTCCTGTGATTAGGATTCAGAATGACTTAGCAAAGCTAAAAAAAATATTCTAAAGTCAATATGGATGAAATTGAGAAAAGACAAATACAAAGTATTGTACCTAGGAAGAAGCAATTTAAATGCATAAATACAAAACGGGGAATGAGTCCCTACAGTACTGAAACTTAGGCAGTGATTGGGGGCTGTAGTCTGTGGCAAGATGGTTGAGTCAACAATGTAATACTGCTGCAAAAAAGCGAATAGCATACTGGATGTATTAACTGGAGTATTGCATGAAAGGCATAGGAAGCAATTCTTCTACTTAATTTGGCAACAATGAGACTTTCTTTGGAGTACGGTGTTTAATTTTGGGTACTACAGTTCAAGAATGATATGGACAAGCTGGGAAGTATCCAGAGGATAGCAAAAAAAGGTTTAAAAGTCTAAAAAATAAGATGTATGAGGAAAGGTTTGAAGACTGGGGACTACTTAGTTTACAGAAGAAAAAAATGAGAGGAGATTTGATAAGTTTTCAAATATGAAATAGCTTGTTAAAGAGGCCGGTGATCAGTTTAGATGTCCATTGCCAGTGACAGAAAAAGGGATCAGCTTATGTTGCAGTAGATTCAGGTTAGATATTTAATCTTGATTCCTAAATCTGAGACTGGGTAAGCACTGGAAAAGATTACCTAGAAGGGTTGTAGAATCGTTGTCATTGGAAATTTTGAGGTGTGGGTTAGACAGACATTTGTCTGGGATGGTTTAGACGAAGATGAGCCTACTTTTAGGAGAAGGTTGGACTAGATGACATTCTGAGGTCTCAGTCCTGTTTTTCTACAATTTCATATTTTTGTTTTATTTTTTATAATGCAGTACATTTTTGTGAGACCTATTTCTCTTCCATTAATACAGGTACTTACTGTTTCATCAGAAGTTCCCAAAAGAATTCAAAATGCCTTAAAGAATGCAGAGGATTCTAACAAGACTCTTAGTCAGCTCCTGGAAGAAGAAACTCTCCTGTCTGAATCAATTGATAATCACCTATTGAAAGCACAACCATGGATGGAGGCTCTTGGTGTCTTGATTAGTCAAATAGAAGAAATGGAACGACACCTCGCTTATCTGAAGTGGATTTCACGAATAGAAGAACTAAGGTAAAAAAAAAGCCATTTATATTTCTAAATATCTTATTTTGGCAATTTTGCATCTTACTTAAAGCTTTAATCTTAAATAATCAAGTTTAAGAACATTCTTGGAACTGTAAATGCTTCTTAATTGCTAATGATTGAGAATTCGTATCTCATTTGAGGAAGCTGTTACTTTGACTTTCTAATTTGGTGCATCTTTGACAGTAGTAACTATTTTGTATATGGGAGGGGATTGGTGAAGGGTAAGTAGGAAGAAATATTTACAGTAAGAATCTATTTAGTTGGTTGTAAATTGCCATATAGGAAATGACATAATCAGCATCTAACAGGTTAATGGTGAGGAAATGCAGGACTTCAGAGGATATCTGAATAGAAAGAAGGGCATGTATATTATGTAGTTTGACATTTTGTTCTTCTTATTTTGGAGTTGGGAAGAAAACATCCCTTTAAAACATTATTTAAATGAATTGTACTTAGAGATTAAATAAAACTGTTTCATCAGAAGTTTCAGCCTTACTCTTCAGTGGTTCTGTTGGCTTAGGTCTGAGCCAAAAGTATAATTGGGTGCCTCATGTATACTCACAGTACTGATATAGCTGGTCAAAAATCAATATTGTAAAAAAGCTTAATTTAATTCATTACCCAATAAGGTGAGTAATATGTAATTAATTTTGCCATCACTTTGCTTTATTTTATAGTGATAATATTCAGCAGTATCTGATGACCAATAATGTCCCAGAGGCAGCCACTACTTTAGCATCCATGGCAGAACTGGATATTAAGCTTCAGGAGTCATCTTGTTCTCATCTTCTCTCTTTTGTGAGGTCCACTGTTCAATTCTGGCATAAAATTCTTAAGGACAAACTTTCAAGGTAGGGAATGCACTACCATTCTCTTATTTTTACATTTTGCTATAGCATTGCTTCTTAATGTTTTCAGAGTCAGGGCACCCCTCCACAACTCTTTTTGAATGTGGTGGCATCCCCAGTTGAGAACCACAATTGGTGCTCAACTTACTAGTTAAGAACCGCTTAGGTGTTGCCAACGCCAGGTAAAAGCGTGCTACATGCCTGCTTCACAACCACACTAGGAAGGGCGGTGTCACATCTGCAGGCTTGTCCTGCATTAGGGTTCTTGATCAGCCTAAAGCAGGCAGGAGAGCTGGCTCTTGTTGCAGTCTTTCTTGGTCTGGCCTGTATGCGTCTCCCAGAAACAGGCGTGTGGGACAGGTAGAACTGTTCCATATGACTCTCTTTTGGTAAGGGGATGTGTGCGTGTAGGCGGGGGGGGGAGGAGAAGAAACAGCGTAAGCCAGCTCTTTTGCTTGCTTAGGCTGACCAGAGAACCCTAATGCAGGAGTGCTCACATGCCAGTCCCCCTGCGTGTGAGGCAGTTTTATCTGGTTGCTGCTCCCCCAACAGCAGTGCCTGTGCTGTTGCACCCTGGTTGAAAACCACTGTATTATAGCTTCATGTTAATGGATATATTTTCTGTTACAGTGATTTTGAGGAGATATTAACTCAGCTTCACTGGCCATTTATTGGGCCACCACAGTCTCAGGTTTTTGGCCTTGCTGCACCAGGCAGTGCTCCAGATGTATACAATAATTTGGAGACGCTATTTTCTCAACTTCTGAAATTGCAAACCTCGTATCCTTATTTAATTAATTAATTTTTTTTTCCCCACAGTGAATTTTAGTAGAAACAGTGAACAAACATTAAAGAAGAAATGTATGATTATTTAAAATTTTTATATTTAACTTGATGCTGCTTTTGCAAGCTAAAGTGGGTTTGAGGATTTGATACTTAAGAATTGATGCATTTCCTGTTTCTTAGAAATGGATTAAGATCATTAATACTTTTCACATACTCCACTGAAGAGTCCTTAGTTGGTAACAAAAAAAAAAAGTTGTTCTTTGCTAGTTTGTATCACATAAATCAGTGACCAAAAGGTGAAATGCTCTTCTTCTGCACTATTAATCCCCTGAGCTCTAGCTGCGTTCTGTCAGTATATTAATATGTATGTGGGATTGTTAGAGGGCTACATGTTTTGGCAACACTGATAAAGTAGATATCCTAACTAAATTGCCTTGCTGTCACTTAATATGACAAATCGGTCCTCAACAACCTGAATTGTTTTAAATACATAATTAGCTATTTCTATATTAACATATTTGCAATGTTTTGGGAATATGGTATGTATAACATTGATTTCAGTTGACTAGAACTGTGGTTCTTAACTGTGTTGGACTCGGAGCATCCCTTGATGCCAGTGCTTAGCTTTCATTTCTTGACTACAGAAAAATAGTGTGATTCTTCTGTTGAAAAAACAACTCAGAAAGACCATAACAAATCAAATAGGAATCCACGGTGCCAGAAACTATTTGATATTTCTGTGTTGACCTTGCAAATTATGTAGGTATTTGCACATCTAACAGCACTAATACTGAGCAGCACCTTGGTTGAGAATCCTTGGGCTGGAACTTGTGTCACAGGATGGGGTCCCCAGGGATGGCCGTAATACCCCTAGGGCTTCTTGACTGTGCCAGTCTTGCCCAACAGGCACCCTCTTTCTTGCCCGCCACGTCTTGCTGGTAATTTTAGTAAATTGGGAGGCTGCCCTTGAGTTTGTATTTTGGACATGGTCTTGCTGGACCCCACTGAACCCTGTGGGTTCTTAGATCCCTTTGGCATCCCGGTTCAAAATGGGTGACTCACAGTACACTCCCAGCCTTATGGGCTAGATGTGTGACTCCAGAACCACCCCTTTGACCACGCCCGAAGCCTCGCAGATGGTATCGCCACGCCCCACACTGGCTCCAGGTTCTCTGCAGCCCCTTATCACCATGCCCACACTGGTGCTGGGGTCCCTGCAGCATTGTGGGCCCCCAGTGAAGCCGCCTCCTTCCCCAGTAGCTTCAACCCAATCCATCAGTCAAACAGCAACTAAACTCTGAGCCCCTGGGCTATAACATAATAGAAACGGTTCCGGGTGTGCTCTGTCCCTTTAAAACATCAAACTTCTCCCAGCACTAAGTGCTTTATAAGCCAGGGTCTCTGGTGAGCTCCTGGAATCCCTTAATCCTACCAGAGTAGAACAGGCAGCCAAGCCTCTCTGGTGAGCTGCTTCTCCAAGAGCTCCTTCCCCCCCCTGGCTACTGACAGAAAACTCAAACTCTACTCCCAGCCCTGGGGTTTATATTTGCCCAGGGCCCTGCCTCTTCTGGTCAGCTGACTAGGTGCAGGCTAATTTACTCGTTAGCCTGTTGCCATAGTAAGCTGCACCTGTGGGCTTCTGTCTGGCTCTTAGGACTCTCTCCACAGGCAGTTTCTGCTCTTATAGGAGCAGGCACCTTAGTGCCCTGCGACATCATGATACTAAGATCTAATGCTTTTATAAATGGTCTATCAATAAAATATTTTATCCTTGACTCTCAAGCCTTAGAGATGAACTGATAACCAAACCAAAACAACTGCCAGAAAAGTATTCTCTTCCTTCATCACCATCTATTATTCTGCCAATGCAAATCATGCTAAATCCTCTTCAGAAAAGGTTCAGGTATCATTTCACTGGGAACAGACAAACTAATGTTTTAAGCAAGGTAAGGGAAAAGCAGTCTTGATTTCATTACAGTTTTACCGAAAACTAAACGTTTCTAACTACGGTGACACATACTTTATTAAAGGTTGTGGCTGCTTTTTTTTTCTTTTTCTGGAATGCTTGGGGCTCACCATAACCATTTACTTTGTGCATGTGGAGGGAACACACAATTTGGAGAAGCTTCACAGGTCATGTTTTCCGCATGGCAAGTTGGTGCAGTGTACAGTTTGCCTGCCTGGGCAATGGGAAATTCCTGTGCTATACTTGCTGTTGCCCTCTATCTGGTGGGGGGACCGATGCAGGACCTACTGTAGCATTAGACAGATTCCACAACTTGAGGAGGGTGGATTTATTCCCTCTGAATATGTGGAAGCTCTTTTTCACCTCTCTTGGCTGCTTGGTGTCACTGGTGTATAAAAGAGTATATTTGGTTTAATGTCATTATCTTCAGTATTTTCCTAGGGTTACAAGTGTTAAATTCTGCCACTTTTAGTGGCCTGAGTCTATATAATTAGTCTTTTTTTTTAGTTTGTCTTTTTTAGTGTTTAGTTACCATCCCATATTTGGAAAAAAGATTTGATTTTTTTTTTTCACTGCCATCAGTGTTCAAGGGGGTTTTCAGCTTGGTATATGACTTAGATGCATTTCTACAAGAAAACAGGTCTTATTCTGTTCTCAGATCTGCTGTAGTTACATTAGGAGTAGGTATTCTGTATCCATGTGCTTGGATGTGACATTACTGGATGAACTTGTAGATACATTTTCACAATGACAATAATTCCTGAATGTGTTTCCTGATTACTTGTGGATAATTGTGAAATGATGATGTGACATACTTTTACATCAGATTATAGGGAATTTTCATAAGCAAACTAGGGAAAATACCATAAGGTGAGTGCTGAGCTGGCTCAAAAACTGCTCTTAGTTATTAGAGGTTCACTATCAAAGTGGCAGGGTACTTTGGATCCCACAAGAATCTGTTCTGGTTTGGTTATAGTCAGTATTTTTGTCAAGGACTTGGATGATGAAATAGGGAGAGCAAATAGTGATGGGTAACAGCAACGTGGAAGGTATCGCCAGTTCTTTTGGAGGACAGGATCAGAATTCAAATTTAATCTTGACAGATTGGATAAATGGTTGGAAATCAACATTATGAAATTTAGTAAAGACATTTGATAAATGGTACATTTAAGAAGGAGAATGCGAAATAGGGAACAATCCAGGGATTACGGTGGATCACAAATTGAATGAGTTGTCAGTGTGATGCTGGGGTGTTGTTTTGTATTTTAGAAGAGACAGTCTGGTATATGTTGTGTCATAAGTAAGACGGAGCAGAATTACCTCCTACTTGGCACTGGTGGGACCTCAGCTGTAGCATGTACCTAGTGCTGGGCATCACACTAAGATGTAGACTGACAGCTTCCAAGAGGAGAGCAACAAATAAAGTAAGAAGCTCAAACTTTCCTTATGGTTGACTTCTAAAGGAGCTGTTTTCCTGTAGCGTACAAAAAGAGAAGGTTAAAGAAGGAAGTAACGATCTTCCAGTACGTGAAAGGAAAAAGGGTGGTGATCAGTTGTTCACCAGGTCCACTGAGAGGAGGGGCAAAAAGGAGTGGGCTTAATTTGCTGTTTGAGTTTTAGGTTGGATACCAGGAAAACCTTCGAACTCTAAAGCTAATGAACATGAGGACAGGCTGCCTGGGAGGGTTCTTGAATCCTCACGAGAGGTTTTTAAGAACAAAGGTGGCCTAGGTGTCTTTCAACCTGCAGGTGCATGGACTAGATAACATTTGTAGGACTTTTCCCAGCCCTACTATTCTGTGAATATGAAGATCCTATTACTGGGGTTTGTGGGGAGTCCTGGCTGGTCACGTACATGTGCTTTGGGGCTGGAGGGGGGCGCTTTAGGTAGAGGGGGT